CAGTGTTTTCACTACAGCGCGAGAACGCGAGAATCTCGCATATTTTTTTCTTTTCTCGCATTAAAAAATTATTACTGCGAGAAATTCGCGCATTCTATAAATCAATTTCAAAATTCGCGAATTTCTCGCATTTTGGAAGAAGCTTCGAATTACGCTATTTAGAATAAAATCCGTTTCACTTTTCTTCCTGGATCTTCATTATTTTCAACATTTGCTCCGTTATCTAGCTTCCCTATTTACCAGTATTGTTCAAAACCTTTTCGAACAACCGAACCACGGAACCCCTTTCAGAACACATTTCTCTGCAACCACGTGTTTACCGTAGGTAAGGTTTTTTGATGTAAGACGTTAAAATTTTTTATGCACTAATGTAAGATGGACAAATACCTAGTGAAGGCAAAATCTTCTATGATGATGCAGCAAGAATATTCAATGCTTTAAAAAATAGAAGACGTTAAAGAATGAAAAATTTTAATTGAATATTTGCTTAAATAATTTTAAAGAAGGATTTCAATAAACAATGAATATGCTGCTTAACTTTTTTTGTAGAAAAGTAACTTAGATCCTTAAATAAAAAATATCTATGATATTATTGCAGTAATCAAATCCTACTCATAATTCATCGTCTAAAAAGTACTTGAGCAGTGACTGCATTTCAAAAGTGCTAAGTAATTGCTACATTTAAAACAAAACAAAAAAAGTAAATAAGTTATAAAGTAGTTGTAGTTAAAGTACAACAAAGATACTACTCTGAAATTAACATTCAACAAAGAAAAACTTATTCAATTCACCTTTAGTTGTTCTATTTCTTCACTATATCTAAGACGTATTGTTTCATCTCTTACTATTTCATTCTTCTGCTGCTCATACATGTTATGAAGATTGTGAATTTCCCCACTATAATGATTCTGAAGAATAAGAGAGAAATATATCTTAGTGTTCAGCAAAGCAACATTAAATTAAAATAACACATTTCAGAGCATTTTAAACTAAAGTTTGTAACAGAATCATTAACCATTGGAGTCCCGGGGGGGGGGGCGCATTGAAAAAAAGACTATCGAAGAATCCGAAACAGCGCAACCACGCTTTCTCTTAATGAGTACAAAAAGACCCCAAGCTGGAGCTTGTTTTATTTTACTTCGATGAATCCCAATCGGAGCAATAGCACTTCTTGTATTTGTTAGGTAACACGACTTTTTTCTCATTGCTACGTCACATTTATTGCAGTTTGCAAAGCGATCGAACGTATTCTTGCGCAAGTGTGTCTCATTGTTAATAAATGTGTGTTTTAAAATGATTAGATGAACCAATGCAAAAAATTAATCTATATTTACTGTTTTAAATTTGGTGTATCCCCAAAAAGGTAGAATGAATCGAAAATGAAAATTTATGAGCAAAATCACAAATCTATGTGATCATATTATTGACGACTACATTGCTCTTGTAAAGTGCAAAAGCCAATTCATTTTTGAGTATCTTCGGAGGATAGTCATAACAATGAAATAAAAAAAAAATTATTCTGTAAATGTATTATAATATTATTTTACCTATTGTAAAATGTACTATTTAGATTAAAAGGAGCTGTGTGATATAGTTGCTTATTATACATGCATTTACTTATAAAAGCAGCTGTGTGATGTATTTTAAACCATATCCAGAAGACGTAAGAACTCTTGGATCAAAAATTGGGAGAAATTTATCTTCTTGGAGGACATTTTGATGGAACTAACCAGCATGAGTTACATAGAGAGGGAAACCACAAAAAACTCCCATGGTTAGCCTGACAGCAAAGGGGACTCTAACTCATGATCCGTCTACTATTGAGGATGTTTTTACTTATACTATTAACGCTCAACATACTGCAGTACAGGCAATAGTACTATCTGTTGAGGAATAAGAGAAATATTTTTGCCATTATCGGATATTTTATTAGCAAAAAAATAAATTTTTTTTAAAATTTCTTCAGCAAATATGGAGAAATTTGAGAATGTATCGATAAACAGGAGATAGTCATAAAATACTGGAGTCTTCCTTAAAAACAGGAGACTTGGCAGGTATGATATTTTCTCTTTTAAATCCTTAATGTAAAAGACGATGCACATTGTTTTCAGTACGACTCTCACTCTCTATGAATACTAAATGAAGCTTTTCACCAGCCTATGCCTAATTCAATTACTAGCTTCGGCCAGACTGAATATATAATATATAATTACTTGAAATGATTCATTGATGAAATTTTAAACAAATATATATATATTTTTACGGGATAAAATTTTTTGTTAATTACCTCCATTTTCTTCAGATTTTGTTGAACAATTTGCAAGTCTGCTTCTAATTTTTGTTTTTCTTCACTGTATTGCTTTTCCTACAGACAAAAAGAAAGATTATTCGAAAAGAAAAAAGGCATATACTACAACAATCTTAGATGCGGAGATGACAACCTGCTACAATGCCTTTTCATAATCATAGACACATTTTCTTTATTCAAAGGTAAAATCAAATGCAGTAAAACCTCGCTACAACACTATTTTGCGGACCTTTGCATTATATAGGTATTAACTATAAATCTATTTATATATTATCTAAAAATTTAGTTTGCAGAGTGGTAATTATGGTTAAATATGAAATCCGATAGGAATGTTACATTTGTGACATAAACGCAATCAAACATTATGAAATTAATAAATGTATGGAGCTTAAAAAGCTTTGAAAAAATTGAATTCAGAGTGAAAACTTTCATGTATCTCTAAGAAAACATTATGCTGCATACTCTGTAACCTTACTACCAAAACAAAAGAAATAGCTTAGTAATTGATGAAACAAAAAAGGCTTGTAATAAATTTCTACTCATCTAATAAACNAAAAAAAAAACTAATTTTAAAAAGTATTTAAATAATTTACATAGCTGCCAACATGGATAGGAAAAACTCCAGTAGATTTCACGAAATAATATAAATTTCATGATAATTGTCGCAAAGTGTACTAAATATTTTACGCATAGGAAATTTTAGGAATTTTATAGTCATCAAAATAGAAAAACTGCCATATTTTCCAGTTATGATTAAAATTAAATGAACTTGAAATTATATGTATAATGTTAACTCATAATTTTGAACAGTAAAGAGGCATTTAATTCATCAAAGATAGTTAAAAGATTATTTAATTAATTTAAAAAGCAAATTCGGAATGAAAATAAACTTAACATTTTGGAAAAATTTTTATCTAATATTTATAAATGAGGCTCGCTTCATTATGTATTAGTAACACTTATTTAAATATTCAAGCAAGCAATAATCTGCACAAAATTTCTATTTCAACATGGATTTTTTAAGAAAATTTATCCAATTTTAGGGAATTTTCTAAAATATACAAAAACCAGGAAAAATTTCATGAAATCAGTAGACCAAGAGAAACAGGCAAAATCCAGTAGTCTACTGGAAAAACCAGTTGAGCTGGCAGCTATGGCAACACATTTCTCATTACCATTTAAATAATCTTTACAAGTTAAGATAGACTGATTTGGTCTTCAATAAAAGAAAAACATGAATGAACGTGAAATACTGTAAGGATAGATTTTATAGTAGATGGAAAGAATTTCAAGTTAAAACCAATAACAATAATGAGGTTATCCTTCGACTGATGAATACCACTAACAAGGTATGCAGTGCCAATAAAGTCCAGAAAAAATATGTAATTTAAGAGATGGAAAGGATGTTCTATTCAAATATTTATTGCATTCTGTTAAAGAATGTTCAGTGCACAAAAGTATTTACAAAAACATTTCTTTTTATAATCAGGAGAAAACAGTTGGCAAGGTTTAAATTAATCTACAGTTTAAACTGTCCTGTTCAAAACCCTTTAATTCAAATTATGTCACAATTTTAAAAGAATATTGTGAAGAATTAAAGGTTAACTTTTGAACAAGAAACAAAATTAATACAAGTTTTTGTTTTAATAAAAATTTATCATTATTTTTAATATTGGATTATTTATCCTTATGCAAAAACATAATATATCAGTATTAAAATTATTTATTCATATTTAAATTAAATATATTCACTTTCGTTCTTCAATGAATTGAGGCACTTCAAAAGTTATAAATATTTTAGTATTATATTATATTCCTTTAATAAGTTAAAGCTAATTGTATAAAAGTATCAAATATTTATTAATATATGTAATGATTATGTGTACAATTTTTGCCCATATAGAATTTTTATCTTTTACCAATGTTTAAAGGTTTTGAACACTTTAAGACAGTAAAACCCACATGTCCTGTCCGAAACCAGTTTAGAGCATCCAAACGCCCAACCTTGGGAGACGATAAGACTGAAATAATTTTATCAAAATGTTTAAAACATAAAAAATAAATATGATAAAACAAATCTAAGCATTTTCATACATATATGACAAATGTACCAGCAAGGGATTAATAAAAAGCAATTATTAAAGTTGAAAATATTAAAATTAAAACCTTAAAATTTTTAATATTTAGTAACATGATTACCTTTTCTCGCAATATTTCTTCCAAATGGGTTTTCCAAACCATTTCATTTTCTTCCAGTTTCTCTAAAGCAGTAAGGTCTTTTTCATGCTGCTCCATCAGATGTTGAATTTCAACCCTTAGATTTCTACACTTTTCGCACAGGCTACCCGTCCGAGCCAAAACACGACTCTCGTCCAACTCCGCCTGCAAATAGCTCACTTCCTGTCGCAGCTCTATACACGATTTACACCCTTCCTCCAGACGCTTTTTCTGCTCCTCCTGCAGAGCGGCCAACTTTGCCGTCAGTAAATCCAGCTGAGAACGATATTCCTGTCTGTCGGCATCAACACTCGCTTTCCATTTCCTTTTGAAACATAAGAGACTAGATACACTACGATGAGCGACGTTGAGTTCGTTTGGATTACAAAGATTGAAAAACGAGTTCGGGAACCTGTACAGGGGTAGATTAGACATCGTATTCATCGCCCTAACTTGTAGGTTTTCGTGGAATGTTGTCAGCGCTTGCTTGTCCGCACTGCTGAGCGCATTGTTTTGGGTAGATTGTTTTGACCTATCACAGTCACTGTATATTGCATCTTTAATCAATATGACAGTACCATCTACGACGGTTATTATAGACACGATCTGAGCGAGTTCGGAGATCGAGCAATGCATATACTCTACGAGGACGCCACATTTGCTGCTGCTGAAAAAATTGTTTTCTAAGTGTTTCACACATATGCTTTTTATTTCGGACGATAAGAGACTCAACTCCTGTTGCAGTAGTTTACAAATATAGTCCGTCCACCTTTCACAGTTTTGAATACTAGAACACAGGAAGTAAACTTCATTTAATGATTTTGATATGTGAGCGATAAAAGAATGAGACACTTGGGAAATAATATGACTAATGTGGGAGAGAAATTGCTTTTGTCCCAGGGGCTTTTGGTCGGGGGATTTTTGATTGCTAGCCTTGTCGCAGACGGAATCCTCCGACAACTCAAGAACTGTAGTGCAAAACCGCTCTATGAACTTCTCTTTGAATTCCGCTAAAATACCGCACACTTTCCTACGCTGCTGATCTACGTCGTCGAAAAAGTCTCTCACGTCAGTCACCGCGTCGATTTCCTCTGAATTACTTTGATAAAACAACAGGCAAGCCACAATATTGCATAGGCTTACCTTCTGTAAACTAGGTTGAATCAAACTGGATTTTTGGTGAATGTATGTTTCAATACCTATAATAGCTTGTTTCACTCTAATTAAATGCTGAACTAGTATGGAGGTCTTGTATTTTTCAAAGTCACTCATTTTAAATACAACGTTCGTTACTTCTTGAAGCAAAATTATATTGTACAGTAGTTTTTTGACGACCAGATTCACGTCCTGCGGTGGAGGCTCGTCGAGTTTGTTGGTCACATGATCCAAAGTTCTCACCAACTTACTCAACTCTTCACTCTCCTCGCTGCTGATGAAATTTACTTTCGAAGGTTGAAACGGATTTATGTGTCCTTGAGCATAGAGCAACTGCAACGAGGTCTTCAGCCATAAAACGAGTGACGACACTTTATGACCCAAACTTTCCAAACATCCGGCGAACGATAACGACAACTCTTCGTCGGCAGCACTCTCGGCACTGGTCAAATCCGTCATGCTTGCCGACAAGGACAGGGAATTCCAATTTTCGTTCATATCCGGGCAAGGTGTATTCTCATTCATATTCACCTGCAGGCAAATCTTAGGCTTGGGCATATCTTCTTGCTTCACCTCTTCGGCGGTGGAAACGGTTTCCGTGACGTCCTTCACTTTCTTATCGAGATTGTGCAGTCGCATGAGCAAGCTTTGGGTGTCCTTACTAGATTCCTCCTTGCCGTTCTCACCGTTGGAAGTTTTAAGTACACCTTCAACAGCTCCGATTTTTTGTTCAAGTTCAGTCAGCTTAGCCTCGTACTCCTTGGACAAACTAAGGCCCTCCTTACCTTTCAAGGAACTCCTCCTCCTTTCCTGCCTCTGTTCCAGTTTCATGACGCGTTGCCTGAGCTGTCGCACGTTCTTCTCTGAATTCAGCAATTTGTCCGTCAAATCATCTACTCTAGCTATCATGAGTTCCATATGAGCTTTGTGCAATTTCTCAGCTTGCTCACACGCTTGCTTTAGAGATATACACCTAAGCTCAAAGTCATCGGAAGATGTTTGCGCGATCTTGACTTCAGATTTCAATCTCCGATTTTCCTCCCTCACTTTATTGAGCTGTTGAGCTAGCAAAACATTTTGCGACGATATCCCACTCAACCTAGTAACTTCCTGTTTTAAGGAATGGCAGCCAAAGCCTTTGCTCGAGCTCAGACTAATGTCACCGTCCTTAGTGTTCAAAAGAAGATTCACTTTAGCTTTTTCCAATTCCGACTGCACTCTATGCAATCGGTCTTCGACCCGGCCGAGACTAGATACGAGAACACCGATTTCCTTCTTTTGGTCACCAGATAAGTGTGGTCCATTCTTTGGAGTCTTCACCTCGATGTCGTCAAGCTTGGATTCGACTTCCTTGCAGAATTTGGATATGTCTAACCAAATAGTCCAAGATGAATCTTCTAACTTATCTTTGATGTCAGTTACTTTCTTCCTGCCTTCTGGGAAAGTGAGAGAGTCTAAACTGGACAATTTGAAGCTTCTCCGCCTCTCTGGTCGATTCGTTTTCTCTTCGGGCGATTTTATGGAACTTTCCACCTGAAAATATAAATTTTATTAATGAGCATACAGAAAAAAGTATGCAAAGTGAAAAGAAATTTTTTTAGCTTCCCCTTAACTTTGAGGTATCGAGAGTATACTGTACTAATCTATAAGCTATGGTAGAATATACAACCTGAATGTTTAGTCCTTTATTCTTATCTCCTCTACGCTCAATCATTGTTTTGTCTTAATGCAAATAGATGCAAAAGAATACATCAAGTAAAAAATATATCATGAAAAAAACAGAAAATAAAATGTAAAGAAAAACAGAACAAATCACAAAATCAAATCTGTAAAGCGAGCAGCAAATTCAAATGAACTTACATGTACGGAAAACTTAATAATGATTCAAAATATTTTCGTAATAAATTATTTTGTTAATATTTTATTTTAAAAAATTTTTTTTCTTCTTCGCTTTTCATTAACCTTTAATTTTCTTAGATGTTTTTAATTTATTTTATGATTCAGCTTACAAGCAGTAAATAAAACTTAATGTTCTCAATTTTCTTTGTAGCTCTCTTTTTTCTTTTTGTCTCTCTCTCTCTCTCTATATATATATATATATAAACATATATCACAATAAAGACTATAAAATATATATATATATATTCCTTATTTAAAAATTATTCTTATGTTTAAAAACAACCAATGAAAAAAACACTTTTAAGGGCTTTTAAAAAATGAAAACAAGCACCTTTAAGCACTTTTTAAAAACGCTATGCACCATGTCTGGAAATTTTTTTAGTGTCTCTTCAACTTCAAGAGTATAATATACTAATGTATAATCTATGGTATAATATACAACCTGAATGTTTAGTCCTACATTCTTATCTTTTCTACACTCAATTATTGTTTTGTCTTAATACAAATAGATTCATAACAAAAAACATACCTTTGATTGCTTCTTCTCTTTATGTGACACCCGTGTAGATGTTGGCGGCAAACTAGAACTCGAATGATCAGTTGTACCATCATCACTGTCTCCCAAATAATGTGGATCCGATTCATGAACATCCGAACGTATTTTGGAGCACCTCGTCCTCGAATTAGAGCGGGTTCTCGCTTTCTCCTTGACCCTAGATATGACAGTTCGAGCCAGCGGAGGTGAGGGAGGTAGTGGTAGCGACTGATGTTTCTCTGGGTCTTCTTCCTCCACAACTAATTTTGAGGCGGACGTTGGGGAGCCTTTCTCTGATTCGATGCTCGATGAACAGATGTCGGGGCAAGGGGTAGATGATTTAGATCTATTTGAGACAGTTTTTAAATCATCATTATGCTTGGTGAATTTTTCTTCAGAGTGCAATTTTAAATTTGCAGCTTGAAATATAGCCTGAATCCAGTTATTGCGAATTTTAGCAGTGACAGCAGATAAATACAAATTAGAAAAGTCTTTCATCTGAAAAAAAAAAAGTTTGATTATTTCTACATACATAAACATTTGAGAAATACAATTCTTTATAATTACTTAAACTATAAGTCCTCAACATACTGCGATACTGTCAATAGCACCATTNTCTTTCTTTTTTGAAAGTATCTGCACAAATCATGAAATTTAAGAGGACACCATACTGAGGAAGAAAATTTTCCTTGCAAATTCTTTCTCCTTCATTACTAATGAGAAGATAATTTAGGATTCCGCAGTGGAGATATAATTTGTTTTAATAATTTGTTTGCATCTCTTTTAATAATTTGTTTGCATTTTAATATTTTGAAGTATTTTTTTCAGCAACTTAAACTTCATGACTTACTATAGGTTTGCCTGAACTTACTTTTTCTTTCTTTTAAATTAGTAATGAAGGAAAAAGAGAATTTGCGACATTTTGTTCCCTTTTTTTTTGCGGTAAAGCATCCTCTTAAGAGAAATGGGAGGCAATAAAAAAAAATTATTTTTTTTTAAAGATTTCATACAAATTTCAGAATTTCCTAAATGACTAAAATATGTTGTTAAATATTATGTGGATGATAATTTTGAGTAGGTTACATTTAAAATTACATTTATTACAGTTTAAAATCTTGAAAACAGAACTTGGAGAATGATTTTTTTTTTTTAAATTATCTTAACATAAATTACACACAAAGATCATTAGTAAAAATCTAAAAACATATATTATGATACTAAATAAATTTTTTTTTTTTAAAAATAATAAATAAATGCTTAGTGCAAAATTTTATTTGCATAATTTTGTCAGAAAAAATCCATTAAAATTCCAAAATAACGCCTGGTATTCATTCATCATTTTACTTTAGTTACTACCTAGCACATTACATATTTTGCAAGATACTGTTAGCAGTAGAGTAAATTAAAGTATAAATTTATTTATAAAAATTTAATGCGAAAAGATTGAAGCACATTTGGAATTTTCTATTTTGCTTATCTCACTCATTGATTTTGGTAGAGAAAAAAACCTCTTCAGGAATAAAAAATATTAAATGGCTATCACAGAACAGAAAAATATAAAATTAGTTAAATAATTTACCATTAAAAAAAAAAAATCGCAAATTTCTAAAAGAGTTAAAAATTATCAATTACTGTAGTGTATCTACAAATACAAAAATACAATTCCAATTTACTAGTATATAAGGCATGTTAACTCGATTCTATCTTGAGGTACATTTAGGTAGATGAAGATTGACATTGTTGATAACTCCTCTCTCCACATTGGTGACCCGGACGTGATGTGAACACGCCTATCTTGAGTTGCGACTCAGTCAAGATCACACACAATGTCGGCATGTATGTACTCGACTGCTAATGGCAACACAGAAGTGTCCACGACCGTGAACTTGATACAACTCTCACGATCAGCATTTCAAAAAAAGTCAGGTGATCTTAATACAGCTCTCCAGACTTCTCACAAAACAGCAATGAATCAACTGGTGGTATCTGTTCATTGAATTCTATCACAGATATAGTTCTCCTCTGGGAGTACTGTAGTGTGTTTACCACTACAAAAAATACAATTCCAATTCACTAGTATATAAGATACTCTATTCTATGTCAGGGTATCTTTACATAGATGAAAATTGCTACCATCCCCACAATTATATTTCTTATAAGTTGAAAATAATCCCTCCAAAAAACTTACAATTATGCAGAATGTATAACCACTGCTACTTTCAGCTTCAACAACACTTTTTGCTTTTCGTAGATCTATGAATCCATCTAAGATCCCAGCATCTTCAGCAATAGGGTCGCTGAAATAAGTGAGGGCGGAATTTCGAAGGACAAACCAGTATTTATTCCATTTGCATTCATCTTGCTTCACAAGCCAGCCTTTCTTAAGAAAAGTATTCTAAAAACAATAAAATTGTGTATGGATAAGGATAAAAGATAATGCAAAGAAAAATTATACAATTTTATGAATAAGGATAAAATAAAAGGATAATGCTAAGATAAGATAGATAGAAGGAAGTAATTACATTTAAAAGAATAGTTTGTATGGAGTGTTAGATTATTTTTGTAATTTGAACTGTAAAAATTTCATGATCAGTGATTTTAATTACGCAAGCACATTTTTTTTCCAAAATAAAGCTTAACATATCATTAAATTTTTCATTAAAAGTAATAAAAAACAAGTACAACAATTAAGCACTAAAAGCTTTCTGTTTGAAATTTAATTAATACACCTTTGTTAAAACTTTCATCCAATTTGCATACATATATTTTCTTAGTCAAGTCAGAAATATTACCCTTTACAACATCTTGAAATCTAGATTACTTGTTTTAAAAATAGAGAAGGAGATATTTTTCTTTTAGAATATAATACAATCCTGACTACAAAACCTGTTTGCAAAGAGTCTAAATTATTGTAGTTAAGGCCTAATAATTTAGTAAAATTCAACATAAAAGCAAAAAACATAATCAGGGTCTGAGTAAAACATAATCAGGGTTTCCACTCAATTTGAATAAGAAAAATAAAAATTAAAAATCTTTGACTTTCCCCAGGTACAGTAGATGAATTTCAATGAAAAATGAGACACTATTTTCATCAGAAAGCTTCGATTCTTTTATTTGTAATGTGAAATATTAGACTTTCCGTGTAAAAAATATTATTAAACGAGGATGGGAACATTTCAGTTTAACTAAAATGTGAAAATTTTATTACAAATAATTGTAATATATGTTAGAATTATTTAACTTGAATCTCAATAACTGTTACTGACAATCTTAAGACAGGTTATTTTCCAGGTATGATAAAGGAATTTTCCAGGTTTTTGTAAGAAAATTACAACTTCCCCAGACTATTCCCCAATTTTAGGAGTTAAAATAAAATTTCCTGACAATTCCAGGTTTCACCTGTTCTTCCTGAACTGTGGCAACTATATTAATGCTACTTTTCTAAATGTCCTGACTCATAGAAATTGTGTATAGTTTGTCTACGGTAAGAACTATCCCCATTACAAAATCTGAGGCTGTCTGCTGTGAAATCAAGAATAGCCCTTTTCAGGGAGGGCTCTTCATTCTAGGGCTAACACCGGACCGGATAATAAGTAGACCAGCTAATAAATATTCCCTTTGTCTGGCCGATCCAAGCCAAAACAGTGACCTTGAAATAGTTATATCTCGTTACTATAGTTACCTCTACAAGTCCAGATGAATGGCTGGTGGAGTTCTTACTTTAGACAAACTATACTGTAACAGGGTTCCCTCTTTTTTAACAAACCAAAAATTAAGCACTTTTACAGACCTTTTTCTTGAAAAAATTAAAGACTTCTTTGAAAAATTAAGGACTTTAAAAATAGAATGATTGTTAATCATCGAATATATATACAGTACAGAACCCGTTATCCGGAAAACCAAAAAACCGGAACGAAATTCGATAAATTTTCCAGCAATTTCTTTAAAAAAAAATTTTCCCTCATAAGATTTTAGAATTTTTCTTTCTTTTTTGAAAGATGTTTATCTTACCATCATTTCAGAAATAATCATTAGTGTATTACCTCATCATTTTTTCTTATTTTTAAAATTATTTCCAAATATTTATTATTTTTTTTAGTTGGGTTTAACACTAAAAAAACGGCTTTTTGTAGCGATTCAGAAAACCGGAAAAATCAGTATCCGGAATAGCGATAGTCCCGATCGTTCCGGATAATCGTTTCTCTACTGCATAATATATATACATACTAAAAGTGCCAATTATTTACATTTCTTTAAAAAAATCAATATTTTATTAATTACTGATATAATTGCATTCATTAACTGGGCTCGCCAAAGAAGTAACAGGCAATTTTTGCAAACCCAGCTTGGGTTTTTTTTTAAAAACATTTTCAGGTCGTTACAGGTTAACATCATCTATGAAACTAATCCATATTCAATTTTTAATGATTTCATTGAAATTGAATTGTAAAATTATGTCCAGAAATTAAGATTTGCAATTTTTTTCATGAATATTAAAAAAAAAGAGTAAATAAAGAAATTTGGCAAAAACATTGAAAAATTTATACAAGTTTTATATTTCGCTACTAGACCTGCATCACAGACTTAACTCAATATATTTTTTAAATTCATTCAAATAAATATTTTTATGAAAATTTATATAGAATAAAAATATAGATTATAAATCTTCTCAAATGTAATTGTATTTTTATTCTATATAAATTTTCATAAAAATACAATTACATTTGAGAAGATTTATAATTTTCAAACCAATTTGTTTTTATTAGTTATTTTTTATTAGTTTGTTTTTATTAGTTCTTATTATTAGGTTTTTATCAGTTAGTAAACATGTAAACAAAAGGTCTAAAATGATTTTTCAAAGGAATCAACATATTCCTACGGCCAGAAAATTGATAAGGTTCCTTAATTAACAAATACTGATAAATTATTTATATTTTAATCATTTATAGATTTTTACTAGTAATATTTCCTTATCATCTTTTATCATTCATAATATACTCTAACTATTATTATGATTTGATATTTTATTTTTATCAAAAATTAACAGTTGATTACTGAAAGTGGTATTCTTTTATTATAAAATAATCCTGCAATATCACCTTATCAGGTAGCATTTTGTAAAAGAATATTGAAATATTTTATAAAAAACATATTGAAAACGGTATATAATTTAACAATTTTGAAGCTATTACTAAACAACAAATGTGTTATATTTACTTTTATAATGAGCTTTACACAAAATTATTTCCAGCCAAGCCTGTTATTAGGAATTAACTTTACCTGATGTTACTAAACAATCTGGTGAAAAACATGAACTATTTTTAAAGTAACCAAAAATGGAATGAAAATTTAACAAAAGAAAAAAAAACAGTATACTAAGTTGCAATATTAACTGAATAAAAATTTTATTAAAATCTGAGGATCTTTTAATTGAGTAGATTTAAATATTATGTAACAATCTGCTTATCCTTAAGAAGAAAAAATAATAGTGTAACAAACTAAAACTTTAAAAAAAGATTTACATAGCAACTAAACAAATTACAAATAGTTAACAAATATTTAACGTTCTTGTTAGAAAAAAATCATGCATTCTTATTTACTACTCAGGAAAATATTGAAGTATTTTTGAAAAAATTTGAGGTTTTCATCAAAAACCCGGGTTTTTGATGAAAAACATAGGTGGGCTGAGATTTTTCAAACCCTGTTTATTACAGATCTGTTTAATTTTTAGTATAATCATAAATTTTGTAAAAATGTCACTGCTTTAAATAAATTTATTTACTTATGACACATAGCAATATTATACAAATTCTTCAAAATTTTAGGAAATAGTTTTACTAGTCCAGAATCAGTACCAGTAGAATACTGAACCAGTAGAACTGAATTTCTTGAATTCTGTTAATTTTGAAGGTTAGTATGGGTCTTCTACTTAGGTACCTTAAAACTGCCCCCCCACCTAAAAAAGCATTACGAAAGAACCAATATATTAATAAAAGGACATGCTTTCTTTTCGTTGCTTGTAACCCCCGCCTCCCAAACACATTCATTTTTGTCTCTCTAAAATGATGCATACCCTCTATGCATGTTCTAATTTCAGGTGATAAAAGAAAGGTATTTTGTTTTAAAAACTTGAACAGAAAAATTTTTCCGATCAACTTTAGTGATGCTGAAAAATTGAGGACTTTTAAAAACCCTGTATCAAAATTAAGTACTTTTAAGGATCCTTATAATCCAAAATAAAATTAAGCAGTTTTTAAGGACCGTGGGAACCCTGTGTAAGTAACCAAGAACTTTTCATTTAAGTACACAGACGAACCTCGATGAATTGTTTCTCATAGCATCATTCATTATGAACGTTAGAAAACGGAAAACGAGAGGTCAACATAAACTATCAAATATAGTTACTGGGGAATATATGTAAAGTAAAAAGTGGAAATGAATAAATTTAAATTATTGCAAGTATATATAAATTTACAATTGCAAAAGTATTTATAAAGCAAAACAAAGATGAACATTTATTTGTTTGAAAATTTTAAAATGTAAAATCTTTCCAATGCAAAAAATAAGCACCTTGAAATTTTTCAACAAAAAATAAGCACCCTTTAAACACTCAAAAAATATTTTTAAGCACTTAAAAAAAAATATCATAACATACATACAATTCAGGAAAACAAAAAATTGTGGGAATGATAGATCAATGTTCGACTGTACTTCAAAGAAGTTTAAAAATTGTTTCATAGTTATATATCTATGGATAAAATTTAAAGAATTCCAGTTTTCAATAGCTCCTCGTTTCGTCTACCTTGAATAGATTGAGATTGGGTTACACAGAGAATATCATTTTAAATCAAAGAGATTGTTTAAAAAAGAACAGTCCTTTACCTCATTGCTCTGATCTCCATTAAACTCAACAGAGGATGTACAGTGGGATGGTACAGAGTCAGGATTACAGCCATCAGGCACTCCTCGAATCTAAGAATATGATTATGAAAAAAAGCAATACTATTAAAACCTTGCATAATACAAATTAACCCATTTTATAACAAGTTACTGTTTTTAAATCTGACTCCAAAAGGCAAAAACGAAAAAATCGAGGCAAATGCATTTTGTAAATTACAAACATTTACTATAGGTTGAGCTGAAATTTCTATCTAAAATGTGTTTCAAAAAAATTTTTATTAACAAAATTTGCATTAAGTGTTAATATATAAATTATGATTTAAATATTTAAAAGAGTGTAGGCTATAAATTCATACCATAACAAGAGAACAAACCCAAAAATTATTTTGAAGATTGGTGCATCAGATTTTGAGAAAAAAAAGATATTAAATTATTATTTTGTCATTGATGTACAAAACTTTCGCAGGTAAGCTAATAAAAAAAATTTATAAATAAAAGAATTTAGTAAATGTCATTTTAAAACACATGAGCATAATAAATATACAAAACCTAATTTTAGTCTAAACAACAGCAAAACTAAAAAAATCTGCAGAGAATCTTAAAAGCCCTTGCCATCTTGGATTATAGAATAAATTTTTGAATAAAAATTTATTAAAATAAAATACTTTTAAAAAAATTATTACGAAAATATTTTAAATCATTCTTGAAAGTTTCCCGTTCATGTAAGTTCATTTGAATTCGCTACTCTCTTAATAGATTTCGTTTTGTGATTTGTTGTTTTTCTTTACATTTTATTTTCTGTTTTTCATGAGATATATTTTATACTTAAATTTCTTGTTTTGTTTCCAAAAAATTTTATTTNTTTTTTTTTTTTTTTTTTTTTAAAAAANTGAGCAGATTTTTTTTTTTTTTTTTGTTAACAAAATTTTCATTAAGTGTTAATATATAAATTATGATTTAAATATTTCAAAGAGTGTAGCTATAAATTTATACCATAACAAGAGAACAAACCCAAAAATTATTTTGAAGATTGGTGCATCATATTTTGAGAAAAAAAGATATTAAATTATTATTTTGTCCTTGATGTACAAAACTTTCACAGGTAAGCTAATAAAAAAAAATTTATAAATAAAAGAATTTAGTAAATGTAATTTTAAAACACATGAGCATAATAAATATACATATATAACCTAATTTTAGTCTAAACAACAGCAAAACTAAAAAAATCTGCAGAGAATCTTAAAAGCCCTTGCCATCTTGGATTATAAAATAAATTTTTGAATAAAAATTTATTAAAATAAAATATTTTTAAAAAAATTATTACGAAAATATTTTAAATCATTCTTGAAAGTTTCCCGTTCATGTAAGTTCATTTGAATTCGCTACTCTCTTAATAGATTTCGTTTTGTGATTTGTTGTTTTTCTTTACATTTTATTTTCTGTTTTTCATGAGATATATTTTATACTTAAATTTCTTGTTTTGTTTCCAAAAAATTTTATTTTGAGTGCTCACACTATTGTATTGATATATTTTGCTTCGCCTATAGTGATACAATATTAGAAAGCACTCCTTTTTGCAGATGTAATCGTGTGAGCTGATGAAGAGATTATATCTTTTTTCATTTCTGACTTTTTAAAATAATTTTTTTTAAGTATTTTATTTTTATTTTTTTCGTCTTATTTTTTCATTTAAATATCATATCTGAAATAATCTCAGGCACAGAACTGGCGTTCCAAAATGTTGTGCTCAAGTATTACACAGGTTAATTTTTCTATTTCGGGATAAGCTCATTTTGATGCAATTTAGAACAATAGCTGGCAGCACTTTACAGACGATTTCAAAGGATAGAGGTTTATGTTCAAAGTGTGCATCTTTTTTCTTATTTTGAAAAAATGGTGTCATTTGAACCATTACATAGATCAGGGATGGCGAACCAATGGCATGCGACACAATATTTTGGGCACCCCATCGATCACAGTGGTTGTTACACTATGAATTATTACACAAATGTTATTATGCTATGAAGCATATGTAACAATCAAATTAAAATTCACAAAAAACAAACAAAATATTAAACAATTATTAATAAAAAAATTAAAAATTAACGCTAAAAAAACATTTAATAACCATAAATAACTAGCAAAAATAATCAACAGTCCTGCTTAAACTAACATCTTACAACCTAATATAAGTTATTGGTCATTTAATCTGCAACAACAGAAGTCACACTGATGTTACTTTAAGTTGAATTACGTGTATAACTGAGACATTGCAAAATGTTTTGTTTTTTTCAATGTAAATAAAGAGTTTTGAGTTGATAGAATTTAGTATTATTATTTTCTCAATAATCACGAAGTCAACATTATTTGACACTACGTCTATGACCTCATTAAGCAATTTTTTAGAGAAAATGGCACATTGGTGTATAAAGGTTCGCCACTCCTGACATAGATTATTTATTTTTTTAGAAAATTATTAAATATTTTTTTCTTTAAATTTTTCGAAAGTAATGCTTCCCAGAAGCAAACTTTACCTCTGCCACGCTGAGTGGTACAAAACCTTTAAATTTTTATGGATGTAATTCAAAGTATCAATTTTTTTAACCACTATGTATTACTATACTATGTACTATTTATTTTGTACTAAACATTTGACTTTTGGAATTAAAAAATTGACAATTTATGTAACCGAATCATCAAAATAAATAGACAGTTAAAAGGTTAATAAGGATTAAATGCAAACTTCGTCTCCACCTTCATCGAACTGAACAGTTTAGTTTCGACGGAGAGTACCTGAGTAATAGTTTGTTACCTGACTGAAACTTGGTTTTCTCTCCAGAGAATCAGAAGAGAGTTTATTGGAGAGGCAATTGATGAGAATTTTATCTTCTCTTAGGATAGCAGCTGCATTTGGCACTGAAGCTGACTTATGAAGTGACCGTGTTTTGATATCTCCATTCTGTTCCTCAGACCAGGACATTATCTGCTTTTGTATATCACCTATTAAAATACAGAAACAGTTTATTTACAGTTAGAATTTTTTCACTTACGTACAGGGTGAGTAGCCAGATTTTTCAACAAAAAATAAGCACCTTTTAAATACTTTTTAACCACTCAAAAAATATTTTTAATCACTTTCCAAAAAAAAAAAATCATAATTAGGATCTGTGCAGTAATAAAAAAAAAATTTCTACTGTTTAAAGTTCCGCATTCATAAAAATAAAATCAATAAAATTCAAAAACATTAAATAATCACGATAAAATAATTAGCTTCTGATAAATATTGCAAAGAGAATTGTGAAAATCGTGATTTTTTTTTTTTAATTTCGAACGACAATCGATACGGCGCAGATATTTTTTCTTTTTTAAAAGATAGAAAATTAACCCATTTTATATCAATCATAGAAATTTTATAAAACGTGGTATTATTTCCATTAAAATATTCTTACATTACATTCATTAAGACACAAAAAACATTTCGTGTATGAAAAGTTATATTTTAAAAAAGAAACAAAATGCTGCATATAGGCACCGATCACCAAATTAATGAACAAACCATTTAATTGAATTATTGTTTTTTTTATGAAATTTGCTTTATTATTTTTTTAATTTACTGACTTTCAATCTTAATCCATCATAAAAACATACGATAAATCTCAAAAGCAATAATTATATACTTTCAAAAAATTTTGCTTAACAATACAAAAAATTTTAATAGTTTAAAAATTTCTCAACAGAAAGTGTTTATTCCAATTATAGTTGTACTTATAATTTATGGATGTCTTCAGAACCCTTGACAACAGCAGAAAAATAAAATTAGCAAAAACAGTGTCTGTGAAAAATTTATTTATTGAAATGNGGGGGGGGGGTAAACTCCATTTTAAAAATTAGATTCTTCGACAAACTAAATCCATGACTTTCCATGATTTTTTTTTTTAAATAGTTAAAATCATGACATTTCATGACAAATTTTGTTCAACACTGAAATTCATGACTTGTGCAGATACCCTGTAAATAATTGTAAAAGGATAACTTATAGCTCTAAAACTTTTTGTTTGAAATAAGTACTAGCAAAGGTAAACTTGTAAAATAACTTTCCAAAAAGAATTATAGTATATGTAGTTTCTATTGTGACGCTATTCTAGGTTTCTTACTGAAAAAACCAAGTTCTTAATTTAACAAATTCTTGTCAGAACAGTCTTAACAGCTCGGACAATGACAAAATGGAGGAAAATTGTATCGCGATATTTGAGAGAAAAATTTTGTGGAGTATACTTGGGGGTGTAAATGAAAACAGTAACTGGAGTAGGAAATATAACTTTAAACTGTACAAAATTTATAATGTCCCGATATTATTAAATACATGAAAATAAATAGAATGAACTGGATGGCCTGTGTAATTCGAATGAGTGATGACAATACGATAAAAAAAAATTGCTTTTTAGACCCACTAGAAGAAGAAAGCGGGAAAGGCCATGGTTGAAATGGGCTGACTCGGCGGAGTCAGATTTTCTTGAAATTAACAAAAAGAATTGGAGATCAAACATAAATCAGAAGTCGTTATGGTGAAATCTTTAGAGGATGGCATTGGCCCACATTGGGCTGTCTGGCCAACTATGATCAGGAGGATTGTGAAGCCATAAACTAGCTTTATCAAAGTGTGTAGTCAAATCTTTCAACAAAAAATAAGCACCTTTTAAGTACTTTTTAAGCCCTAAAAATATTTCTATGCACTATATACATAAACAAAATGCAAAATAATTTTCAAAGACTTTACATGATCATGATACAATAACTAGTTTTGACAAAGAACTCTTTTCTTAATTATATTAGCCACCATAAAAAGAGCGATATTTTTTTAAGTTCGATTTCAGAGGGTGGAAAATGAAACCTGAAATTGAGAATATTTTGCAAAATGCAGCAGAGTTGCACATGAGAGTGCAATAATCTAAAGGAATCTAGCACAGCAATAACTCCCAAGTATTTAGTTAAACATGTAAAATGATTGGCACTTTCATACGCTACGGACCGGCTGCCGAAATGGATTGTGCTTAAATGAACTGTGAAAACGTTGAATAGAACAATGTGAAAACTACGATTTTGCCTATGTAGGCAAAAATTGACAAGGTAAAGAAAAAATTTCATTTTCAAAAAGGGAAAATTAAGCACTTTTTAAAAACTTCCAATAAACCTCCTTCAAGGGGTTTTAAAAAACCAAAATAAGCACCTTTAAAAACGTTACGTACCATGTTTATCAAAAGAATATTGAAAATAGTATAATTTATTTAGTCACTAAACGAAAAATTAACTTTTACATCTAACCAGACTCTTTTCGGAAAAATATTTTTTATATGATTGGTGTATTATTAAGATAAAGAATGAAACCTAGTTAAACCCTTAAGATTCAGCAACATTGATAAGCCATTAATCACCAGGCATAATAATAATTGAGCATATTAATGCAAGAAATAATAATAGATCAATATGAAGATATGAATTTACCTTAAACAATTCATTTCATTTCTAACAACAGCATTTTCAGAGTTTTTCTTATCTGAAATAAAATAATACAAACATAATTTAGCAACTTTCATTCATGAAAAGAAACAAAAAACTCTTCTTTTCAATTTTGCAATGCATATGAGTTTTCTAACACAACAAAAACTTAAGAATATAATGATTCCTAACAAAAACAAATTGAATAAATAAAAATATTATACTAATTAACAAAGTAAAAGTTTCCAAATAAAAAAAAAGATTCCTTTAAAAAAATTACTGAAGAGACTCTTGTGGGTTTTACCCTTTACATTCTGTGTAATAATAACGAGAACAAAACATATATATACACATCAAAAACCCTTTTTTATTCCGAATATTTTAAAGCTGGGGTTCATTCCAGTTTTATTTTATTGAAGAATTTCTTCTGAAAAATATAAATATTTTTGGGAAAATTTTCTTATCATGTATAGCAGTTATTTTCTACTTTTGCTTTTATTTTGCATTTTTTGCTTAATAAGTTCTATTTTCTTTTCGATTTTTAGTGCTCCTCACACTATTGTATTTATTTATTTTTTTTGCTTTGGCTATATTGCTACAATATTAGAAAACAATATTTTTTCGGATATAATCGTATGAGCTGATGGCAAGATTAACATTTTTTTAAAATTATTTTTTCTTCTTCTTTACTTTACAAAGTTTTGATTTTGATTTAATAAATAAAACTATAGCTGGGATACAAAACAGATTGCATTTATAACTTAAACACTTGTTAGGTTATCTTAACTTTTTCACAAAAAAAAAATTAACCCTTATGTGCATTAAATTTAAAGTTCTTATGTTTACAAACAATATTCTTATTGTCAAATAATAATGTTCTTTTACTATTGTTTGAATTCTGACAAAAATAAAAGTCTACGTATGTAACAACAAAAACACATAAAAAGTTTTTCGTATAGTAAATTAATTATAGACCCTTTGGTAATTACCGTCCCCGTACAGAGCATTTCAGGAAGGGACAGTAATTACAAAACGATAATTTTCACAAAATCTATGAAAAGTCATTTCATTTCCTTTATTAAAATAGCCATAATTTATAAAAGTTGTTACACTTAGTAAAAATCAAAGCATTTTTACTAGCTTGCAATTTCTTAAAAGGAAATCAAGAGGTAATAACTACATTCAATAAAGTCACCCACAGTCTTTTAAAAGGAGGAATTATGCTTATTGATCCCAGAAGAAATGCAACTACAATTAAACTTTATTATCAAGTGTGTTCTTTGAAACCTAGAAGTTATATCTTATTCAACTAAAACCTTCATAGTGTTTTATTGATACTTTTTGGATTTTGGAAAGTAATTACACAAAAGTGGAGGACACATACAATGTAATATGTGGAACAAAATATACAAATTATTCTAAGAATATTGAATGTAAATATTGAAATAGACAGTCAAATATACCAGAACATGTATGAATTTATATCTGTAACAATTTCGTAATAAGTGTGTAAGGTTCACAGTACAGTAATGACACATTACCCATCTTTCATTTAATTTATAAAAATATAATTTAAATATAAAATGTGTCTCATGCATATTTTTGTTCGTTGAGAATATTTTAAGCAAAACATACCAGTAAATAATAAAAATAAATATTGTATTGATAAATATTGCTTAAGGGCACAAAAAAAAATGAATCGAGAGAATAACTCCAAAATACTAAAAATGCAAACACTTTAATAAACTTTAACTTAGTGAAAGGGGTCCTATTTATGAGTTTTGTGAAAAGGCAGGGCCATTTTAATAGCAAGCAGGGCCCCCGGGGCACAGAAATGTTTTAGGTCTCAACTAAAAAACTTCACATACACAAATGAAAACATTTTTAAGATATGGAATAATTTTAACAAACTTTTTATCACCCCAAAAACTCAATCACATAAAATAAAGCATTTTTAAACTATACATAAATTTTTTAAAAAAGAAATGAGAAGTTGCAGTCTTGCAATTGCAATCTTTAATAAAATAATTTTCAAAACCAAGAGTCTAAATAAAATAATTAAATTTAACAAATCATAAGGGCTTCACAAATGAAAAAATTCAAAAAGGTATGAATTATTTCGTCACACTATTCAAGTCAGTTATCAAAATATCTTTACACATCCGACATAACCAGTTTAAAAGTTGTGATCTGTCATTCTAAACTCTTTCAATTATTACTTTATTTAACTAATTATAAATACTAAACGGAGTGGGTGGTGGACAAGAATAGAGAAATTACTTGAGTGCCTAAAAACCTCATTTTAACGTAGAAAAACAGATTTCGGTTGACTTTTTAAGTTTTCCGGGGGGGGGGGGTTCAAATTATTGGCGTATGCATGATTATCAATCCCTATTTATAGAAAAAAAAATGCACACATTTTACACAAGAATATATATATTTTAAAAAATGTATAAGCAATGTTTTGGCTCTTTGTTTTTTTAAATACAATACATAAAATGTAAGATTCTCAGGACCCGGGTGTACCCAAGCATAAAGGCACTACTGTGAAAAAGGTCTTTTTTTTAAAAAATTTAATTTTGTGAATGTCCCTAACTTTACCCTACTAGGTCTGTCTAGGTTTTTTAAGAGGTACCTATTTGTGAAAATTTAAACAAAATTTGTGAAAATTAAAAATTAAATTCAAAAATCAACACAAAAATAGGGCTATGTAATAAAATATTTCAAAAATTGTCACTACAAATAAAAATCATTCATGACTGGTCATCATGATATCAAAATTTCCTCATGATAATCAAAAATCATTCATGATATCAAAATTTCTAAATGCATAAAAATCATTGTCCATAGTTAAATTTCCTTTTGAATTTAACAAAGGCATGTATTTAATAGTACTAATATTAAAAGTTATTTTAATTATGAGAACATTTTCAACTGGGTCATACAGACAAAAGTTTCACAGAGAAAAAAATGGTTCATAAAACAATAAATGTTTGTTAGAATATATGTAGAATATAATGTTGAAATTTTGACTTCCTGTAAAGTTTATAGAGGGAGAGCATCGTCGTTTTATTTTACAAAACTAAGCGTTAAAAAAAACTATGGTGTAAGTGATGGGCTAGGATTACCACATTGCACTATCTGACCATACACGTGCTACCTTTTTGTAAAAGACACCTGGCATAAAAGCTCCTCTTTTCCATAGATTGCAATGAGAACTTTCTTTTTTATTTGTGAAACTACCATTTTTCCTAAAGTTGAATTTGTGATGGTACCGCTAAACAGTGTTCGTAATTTTTTGACTCTTTTTGAAGAAAAAAAATAAAAAATCAGATTTTTTGATTTAAATCAGATTTTTTTGATTTTTATACAAATACACTGTAAGAACTTTGATTTATGACTAAGAAAACTTTATAAATGTTTAATAAAAATTAAATTAATATTAAAACTATATTAAAAGAATATTTTAGAAGCTCTAAGTACCTAAAACAATTTTTTATTACAATACATAGCTTTGAATGCATAGCAACTATTTTGAAGCAAATGAATGATTGAAATTTAAAGACTAGATGAAATAGAGAATTTAAAGAATTCCTTAACTATTAAAACAAAGTTTCAATTACCAAACCATAATTTTAATTTAAAATTGTGATTTCTTTTTTTTCTCTTGAGTTTTAAAATGACAAAATAAATGTAACAGATTGTGTTTATAAATGTAGTTATTCATCAAAAAATAAATAAATATTTAATCTATATATTTTGATTCCTTGGCTAAAAATGCCAGAGATCTAAATCAAAATTCAATCCCAACTACATTGGCAGATGCAAATGCTTTTGCAAAGTCAAGACTATTCACCCCTTTAAAAATCAAAGCCCACGATCAAATAACTAATCTTGACATCGATAGGAAGACAGCCACTACTCCCATCAGACTAAGAACAAAACATCATAAAAACATAAAAATTTCTACAGATAAGACTAGAAAATATCAAAACTGTGGCAACTGTCTTAATGTGGAACTGACACCATATCATGTTTTTAACTGNTAAATAAATATTTAATCTATATATTTTTATATTAAAATATTCATTTTTAATCCTATATCAAAATAAATAAGTTTAAAAAAATTTTAAAAATCTATAAACTCATTAAAAAAAAACTTCACAAAATTTCTTTATAGAAAACCTGATTATGTCAAAGATACTGTAAGCATATTATGAGAAAAAAAATACTTAAATGTTTACTTTAATCCGTACTTTCAATCTCAAGAATCAAAAGATTTTTAAAAATGTTATTTGAAATGTGTTGGAATTTATCACATACCAAGAAAGAAAGTAATTTCTTTAACTAAAATTGATTAGCAATAATAAATTTTAAAACTTATGCAGCAATTTATTTAAAATAAATTTTAAAACTAAGAAAAAATAATAAAAGTATCAACAATTTAAAACACTGTTTCTTAACTTTTTAAATCAATATATATATATAAAAAAAATTATTTGATTTAAATAAATGGTTTTTTATTTGATTATTTAAATCAACCAACCCTGGATGGTGCCGCTAAAAGGAAGTAAATTTACCCTGGACATACCCCTGCCCTAAATAGACAGCAGAAAAATGATTATAATAATATAAAATGGTGTTACCTTCTGCAATGAGAAGTTTTTCTTGAGTTTTGGTGATGAGTGTTGAGTTGGTGTCTTTAGTCGGGTAGACATCTTCCTCTGGATCAAAGACTATGCTTGAATTTTGCTTCAAATTACTCCTATTTAAGCTATTTACATATCCGTTGTGCTTAGTATAATTATTGCTGGAATCAACTGAATCTTTTCTGCTGTGGACACTATTTACACTCTAAAAACAAAGGAATAAAAATTAAAAAAACAGATCAATATGTATGGTCAAAGATATAGTCTGATGATCACTTTTTATTAGATTACTAAGTAAATTAAATAATTAAGACTAATTAAGACTTTGACTCAATGTAATATGTAAGAATAAATCGGAAGCCATACTGCAGGCTATAGCAAAACAATTATTAACAAAGATTTCAAAACTATCATACGAGTATTTCATTCACAGACTGGCACTGATGCAACTAAGAATTCTTTGTTCAATTCCAACGATATACAAATAAGATCACATGACATGGCATATTTATATTTTTTAGAGATAAATATTTTCATCAAGATTTATGATATTATTCATATACATTAAAAACAAAATATTCTACAACAGACAGGATCTTGACCCAGAGAGGCATTGAAGGCTTAGACGTTATATTTTTATGTTTAATAAAGACACGCGAGATGCCCATCACTGTAAATTTTCACAAAACCTAGATTCCATCTGCCTGGAGAAAAAAATCCAAAGATATACAGTTTTGAAAATATTAAAATATGCGGTATTTTTTACACAGTTGCTACTCTAATCTCGAAGAAAAAAATTGCCTGTGTTTCCCTGCATATATTATACACAATATATTAAGATATACAAAGATATACAGTTTTGAAAATATTAGAATATGCGGTATTTTTTACACAGTTGCCACTCTAATCTCGAAGAAAAAAATTCCCTGTGTTTCCCTGCATATATTATACACAATATATTAAGAGGACACACGCAATCACTGTGCTCTGGAGTGAGCTATATTGGATACACTATACTAGTTTTAAATGCTGGTAACGGTACAGCTATTATACTATACATATTTTTAAGATGGGTTAAAATCTCCCCCAAGAAATAAAACAATAACATTTCTCCAATCAGTTACAAAACTATAAATTGACAGCAAGACATAACCATTTTGCTTAACTATTACTATATACAGTAAAAATACCATTGAAAAAAAAGAAGATTGAAACATTAATTTAAAATTTTTATAATTTCTCCAGTAACTTATTCATAGATTTATAACTTTGGAATTTTAAAAAGGGTAAGAGATAGTAAAATAGTTTGATTACGTCCATGAAAAATAAATAAATAATTAATTTTTAACTTTTAAAGTAAGGTAAGATCATTCACAATTTTATACTAACAATAAAATTGTGAATGTACAAAAAATACTTCCATTTAATGAAAACATTTAGAATAAAATTGTAAATGTATAGCTGTCAACATAGATAGGAAAAAATCAAGTAGAGTTTCAAAATAATATAAATTTCATGATAATTGTTGCATAATGTACTAAATATTTTACACATAGGGAATTTTAGGGACTTTTATAGTCATTAAAATAGAAAAACTACAATATTTTCCTGTTAGGATAGACATTAAATATAATTAAAATCTTATGCATTACATTTCCTCATAATTTTGAATATTAATAGGCATTTAATTCATCAAAGACAGTTAAAAGATTTTTTTAATTAATTTAAAAAGAGAGTTCTGAATAAAAATAAACTGAACATTTCAGAACAAAAAAAAAAAGTTTTGAACTGATTTCTTGAGGTCTGCTTCATTAGGTATTAGTAATAATTATTTAAATATTCAAGCAAACAATAAACTGTACAAAAATAGGGATTTAAATAGGGATTTTTTAGAAAACTTACTCAATTTTAGAGAATTTTCTAAAATGTACAAAAATTAGGAGAATCTTCATTAAATCAGTAGACCAGGAGAATCTTCATTAAATCAGTAGACCAGGAGAAACTGGCAAAATCCAGTAGTCTACTGGAAAATCCAGTTGAGTTGGCAACTATGTAAATGTATTCATTAAGCAGCAGCATTGAAAAATAATAAGTTAACAGTTTGTTTGCAATATGCCAAAAGTCTATCATAATTATCCAGATACCATATATTCAAACAGCTTGTGAACTGTCAGACAAAACTTAAATCTTTTTCTCAAAAATCCAGATCCCCATTATGACTTTTTTTTAATTTAATGATAAAATTGAAATCTGCTATAAAAAAAAAAGAGAAAAATGAACAAGAAAAGCAACGATAATGATTATATAGAGTAAAAAGTGAACTTACATTTTCAATTTTAGGGACGGCAGTAGGTTTAATACAAGGAAAAGTTGAGTTTCTTTTGTACTTTCCACAAACGGTAGTTCTAGGAAATTTTGACAAGACTTCAAACCACCTATCGATACAAAATTTTGGAATTTAGTATTGTGCTGGTATAAATTTGTAAACAACATAAACGCACACCAACCATCGAGTGAAAATATTATGTTCTGAAGTTCTACATGGTTCAGTCTGAAGTTCATTATATTCTAAAATTAATAATAACTACTTAAATTATAGATAATTAACCTCAAATATTACATTTTTGTTACAGATTTTCTTGTGGTCCTGCAGTTTCAGATTAAGAGGATAAGCAACAACAAAAACAAAAATTAGATAGGATGTTAATCATATCTGTAGTGTGTCTACGACTACAAAAATACAATTCCAACTCACTAGTATATGGGACATGTTAACTAGATTCTATACCGGGTACCTGTTCATAGAAGAAGGGTGACTTTGTTGATAACACCTCTCCCCACATTGGTAACCTTTGGACATGATGGTAACACGCCTACCTCGACAGAAAAGCACACTTTGAAAAGTTGACTTGCTACTTGTGACTGCGATATCATCCCCCTCTTAGAGCTGCTGCCTCTTAGAGCAATCTCGATCACACACAACATCGGCCTGTATACACTCGACTGCTGAAAGCAACACGGGAGCGATCATGAACTTAATACAGCTCTCATAATCAGCATTTAAAAGCACGGTGATTTTAGTACAGCTTTCCCAGCTTCTCACAAAACAACAATGAACGAACTATTGGTATCCCTTCATCGAATTCTATCACAGATATAATTCTGGGAGGAATACTGTAGTGTATCTACCACTACAAAAGTACAATTCCAATTCACTAGTATATAAGACATGTTAATTCGATTCTATGTCAAGGTACCTTTTCATAGAAGAAGATTGAATTTGTCGACAACTCCTATCCCCACAATATCTAAATAATAACACTCTGAGGGGGAAGTAGACTCACTGTATTGTGGACATCTCCATTGAAACAAAATTTCCGTCCTTTTAGGAAATTTTAGGTTAAACTTCTAAAGCATTTTAAAAATTAAGTTTTTGATTTTAGAAAATTTTCTAATTACTGGTACGAAGCTTTTTTTGTTGTTAATGCATATAAAAAATAACAATAACTATGAAAATTATCAGAAGCTTAAAAAGGCTTCTAATTGCTCTGAATAACAGGCAAGAAACAAAATCAAAAGAAGTTTCTTAGCAAAAAAGAATTACCATAATCTTCATGGTTAGAAATTAAGAGTAGAAAAGGTATAAGATATTTTTTTAGTTTTTAATTTGTACAGTATTATCATTTAATTAACTGTAATATTTTTATTAAACTCAGTCGATAGAGAGCCAAAGCCTACTGAGCCCATCTCAGTTTTCTTGACCTTTGGGGTTTGGAGTGCAAGAGCAGATGTTCGAGTTGGGTGGTCAGCCTAACACGGAACCCCCAGTGTTTAGTGCTTGGTACTCATTTCATCGACCCATTAAAGGGATGAACGACTGAGAGAGCTTGCCCAGTGGGGGGGGAGGGGTTAGAAGTTATTGACAATGTCAACCTGCAATGCAAAGGTACCCTGACACAGAATTGAGTTAACATGTCTTATATACTAGAGATTCGGAATTGTATATTAGTAGCGGTAGGTACACTACAGTACTCCCCCACCAGAATTTTTATCTGTGATAGAATTGGATGAATGGATACCACTAGTTGATACACTGTTTTGTGAGAAGCTGGGAGAGCTGTATTAAGATCACAGTCGTGTTCGCTCTTGCATTGTTATTAGCAGTCGAGTGCATACAGGCGAAACTGAGTAGTAACAAGGTGAATAATGTTGCAGTCACAAGTAGCAAGTGAACTTTTCATTGCGGATCACCCATCGAAGTAGGTGTGTTCAAATCAAAGTGGGAGTTTCTGTTAAGGTAGGCATGTTCATATGATGTCCGGAGGTCACCTATGTGGGGATAGTAGTTATCGACAATGTCAATCTTCATCTATGTAAAGGTACCCTGACATAGAATCTAGTTAACATATCTAATATACTAAAGATTTGGAATTGTAGTGGTATACACACTGGCTAGAGGATCAAACCAATGACCTGAGGCACAAGAGCATGAACCACTCAGAGATGGGAAAGAGATTCAAAATAATCAAAATGCTTAAAGCAATGTGAATAAAAGCACAATAAAAGTGCTTTTATTCAACAAAAAAAAATTTAATAACAATACAATATGTTAGTAAGATTTATAAAAATATAGAAAACAAGAAATGTAAAAAAAATTAAGTCAATTTCTACTTAGGTCAACATAGAAACATTTTATTTTAGTTATTTTTTATAAAAATAATTACAATTTTTTTCTCCCATATAAAATTAAAATTAATTATTAATTAAATTTAATGAACTAATTAATATTTGTAAAAAACCGTATTAACATCAAGTGTCATATATCCATATATGGCAACGTTACTTTTGAAAAGTAACGAGTAAAAGTACAAGTATTTTTAAAAAAAGTAACGAGTAAAAAGTAAAAAGTTCTTATTTTAAAAAGTAACGAGTAAAAAGTACAAGTAAAAGTACAAGTACTAAACAAAAAAAGTAACGATTTAAAAGTACATTTCTAGGAAATCGAAAATTCAAAGTAACCTAAAATTTTATTGAATAATATTCTTATGTTCTTTAATGTTTTTGCAAAATTGTTGTTATTTATTTAATTATTTTTAATTTTGAAAGTTATGGACATTAATTTATTTTTAAATTCGGAAGAATATTATAATATAATTTTATAATATAATCGTATAATATAATTTTAAAATCAAATATAATTTTAATATCAAACTTTTTATGGATTTGCACGAAAAAGAAATTTTATCTATTGATTTTAATTTTTAGTTTATTATTTTTATTTATTTAAATTACCATTGATTTAAAATTGTTTTACTCTATAGAAACGCGTTTTAAAAGCACAAACATAAACAAAGCAAACACGGGGTTTCAGATAGCTTTGTGATCTTTGAGCTAGTAAAAAATAATTGAATGTGCAGTATAAGTTGAAACAGAACAGTCTACAGTTTTATTTGTAACGATGGCTAATGCTGAAGTCATGCGAGAAAATCATTTTCCAAACATTAGACTTAGAGATCTAAAATTAGAGATTTGACTGGGCGTTGTTTGACAAGGTCGGGCATAAATATAATTTCAGTAAAAAATGTACTAGGTAAAAATGTATTTAGTAAAAAATGAATTAAGACAAAAATTTATTATTAGTGAGTTCAAAAAGAAAATTGAAAAACGTAATAACAAAATCCAAAATTTTTTATTTAAAATGTATTAAATAAATGCATAAAACTCGAAAATGAATGAAAATAACTTGCTAATTAATATTTTTATTTATTTTGCAAAATAATTGCATTTCGAAAATGGTGTCACTGAGTCTGCTGCAAGAATTTCTCAGAACGGGCTTAACCACGCTGAATAAGCTCTCCACGGGAGGTCAAGGTATTTAAACACACGAAGTTAGCTGTGAATGCATATATATTGCACATTAATTTTATAAATTAAAAAAACATAATAATTTTTTTTAATTTAATTTTTTTAAATTTTTTTTGGAAAGATTTTCGAGTTNAATTGGTAAATTTACTAAAATGATAGGAAGTAAAAAAAAAAAAAAAAAAATTATAACAATACAATATGTTAGTAAGATTTATAAAAATATAGAAAACAAGAAATGTAAAAAAAATTAACTCAATTTCTACTTAGGTCAACATAGAAACATTTTATTTTAGTTACTTTTTATAAAAATAATTAGAATTTTTTTCTCCCATATAAAATTAAAATTAATTATTAATTAAATTTAATGAATGAATTAATATTTGAAAAAAAACCGTACTAACATCAAGTGTAATATATCCACTGCAAGTTTAGAAAATGTGTATTTGAACTTGAATGGATGAATAAATATTATTTTAAATAAATATTAAAATTGAAAATTTGAACAAAATATATAACTAATGGTAAGAATTGAAAGAAAAAGGAGCATAGTATCAGACAACTATAAAAGTATAAATTTAGTGATGTAGACCAAACGTGCTACCACGTTATGCTCTTTATTGAATTTATCTGGCACAGCAAATATAAAACAATTAAATATTTAAATGAGAGCAATAAATTAGTTTTTTGTTCAAATAGAGTCTTAAGTTAGAAATGATCACTGATGTTATTTTTAAAATATGTGAAAAACTGTACCGCTTATAGTAAAATTTAAAACAATGACTAACGTTTAAACCATCAGAAAATTCCATTTCGTTTTTTGCTCATCCCTATTTAATGAATGAATTAATATTTGAAAAAAAAAACTGAACATCATCCACTAAAAAAAACGATTAACATCATCCACTAAAAAAAACGATTAACATCATCCACTAAAAATTTAACAAAATTTATTTGAAGTCGAGTGGATGAATAAATAGTATTTTATTAACGATTGAAAATTTAAACAAGATGTATAAGGAGAGTGTGAACTAATACAGTAGGGAACCGATTATCCGGAACGGTCGGGACCATCGTTATTCCGGAAAACTGATTTTTCCGGTTTTCTGAATCGCTACAAAAAGCCGTTTTTTTATTGTTAAACCTAACTAAAAAATAAAAAAAATTTGGAAATAATCTTAGAAATAAGAAAAAAACGATGAAGTAATACACTAATGATTATTTCCAAAATGATGGTAAGGTAAACATCTTTAAAAAAAGGAAGAAAAATCGTAAAATCTTACGAGCAAAAAAAAAAAATTTTTTTTTTCAAAAATGGCGAGAAAATATATCGAATTTTGTTCCGGTTTTTTGGTTTTCCGGTTTTCTGATTTCCGGATAACGGGTTCCGTACTGTAGTAGGAATTGAAAAAACATAAATAAGATGCTAAAGTGAAGAATAAATTACTTTCATTACATTAAAAGTAAGCATTAGTCAGCATTAATAAATGAAGTTAAATGTATTTTTCAGATAAAAACGATTTTACTTTTTGGATTCGTCTTTACTCATGCCCTTGATAAAATGGACTTTATCGGGGCAGGTGACAGACAGAGCAAATGGATTCCCCGTGACGGCTTCGGCATCGGACACCTCCAGGACGCAGTTCATGTCGATGATGGCTTGAGGAACTGTCTCTGGCTGCAATCATTTAAACACTTGTTATTAACAATATCAATAAGTTTTGAAGCATTTCATTAAATTTCTAAAATGAAGAAAAAAATTTAAGAAACAAGCATGAAATCAAGTAATTTTCAGAATGCTATAAAATATACATGATAATTCCATCTTTATTTAAAAAAAAAAAAAATTTAAAATATCTAACAATAAAACGCGTATGAAGTGCAATTTCGACTAAAAGAGTGTGGCAACTCGTAGACAACTTTAAAATCACCATTTGATTAATTTAGTCATCCTGCGACTGATGAGAACTGTTAATTTTGCCCTTATACCTGGTCAATTTCACCCAATACCTGGTCAATTTTGCCCTATACTTGGTCAATTTCAGCCAATATTATACAATATTTGGAGTTATGCACACGCACATTCATAATTGTAATATTGGACCAGACCTGTTCCATCAAACTATCCTAATTTTTAACATTACAAAGTTCATGTTCTGTTAAAAAAAATTCCTACCTTTTTATTCCTACAACATTCAATTATGTAAATATAACATCAACAGTCTTTAATGTTGGTGTGTACTCAATAACTTATATTGGTTTTTTGATAAACCCATTATAAACATGATAACATGTAATAAATTGTACAGGACATTCTGTAGCCACAATCTTTTATATACATTTTTTCGATACTTTTAGTTGAAAAAGCATACTGAGGGCAGTTTTTAAGCTAGGAAGAAATATAAAGATTTTGTACAGTTTTATACCTTGGAAGAGATTCTATACTTCTATTTCCTCTGGCAATCAAACAGGTTTTCCAATATGGATAAGAAATTCATTAGATTTGAAACACATTTTCCGTATTTTATTCTCTCATCCACATATTAATTTAAAAACTCGAATTTGAATTTTTAACTTTACAAAGAAAGATATTAAGGGTGATGAACAACTCTTTAAACGAAATATCAAAATTTAACAGGGTGCATAGCCAGATTTTTCAACAAAAAAGAAGCACCTTTTAAGTACTTTTTAGACATCCAAAAATATTTTAAATCACTTTCCAAAAAANAATCAAAAAAAAAAAAAAGTAATCATAATTAGGAAGGATCTGTGCAATAATAAAAATTATTTTTCTTGAAGTTTTTTTTTGATTTATGAACATAAAATCTCTAAAATTGAAAAACATTTTCAAAAACTTGACATAAGAATGATAAAATAACTAGTTTCTGATAAATATTGCAGAAAGAATTATGAAAATCGTGCATTTTTCGTAATTTCGAACGACAATCGATACGTCAAAAAAGAATAAATCTCTTTTTAAAATATAAAAAATTAAGCACTTTTTACTAGCCCCGGATAAAAAAAAAGAAACTTTAAGGGCTTTTAAAAAACGTAAATCAAAAATAAGCACCTTTAAGAACTTTTCAAAAATTTTACACTGCCTGAGAATTATTCACTTAATTATATTAAAATTAGAACACTAAGTATTCCTTAAAGTTTGAAGAGTACCAATTGAATTTTAGGGTATGTTAATAATAATAAGATAAAAATATTAGAAATTTTTTTAAATAAAAACTAACCAACAAATCTGAAATTTTAATCTACAGAAAATTGACCTATAATGAAAGAAGAAAAAAATCTTCAAAAACTCAAAAAATGCCCTTAAAAAGCAAGAGACATCTCTGTCTTTTTAAGAGCATTAAAAATTTCATCAAAATCAGGAAATAAATATTCTATGTTTAGTTAGTTATTAAAGAGTTAATTCAGATCGCCCTTCAACGTCACCAATACCGCTAAATGGGATAAAATTTTACCAGGGTACGTAGTCGAATCCTTCAACAAAAAATAAGCTAAATAATTTTAAAATATATTTTTAAACACTATACGTATACATTTACAAAATAATTGTCAATGACTTCACACGATCATGATAAAATAACTAGTTTCTGACAAGAAAACTTTATTTTGGTTATATTAGCCACCATAAAAAGATCCAGAGATTTTTTGGTTCAATATCAGAGGGTGGAAAATGAAATAGAGAATATCTTGAAAAATGCAGCAGAGTTGCACATGAGAATGCAATAATCTCACCAAACCTAGCTCAGTAGTCACTCCCAAGCATTTCATCAAACATGTGAAATGATTGGAGTCTTTCATAAACTACGGAACTACGGTACGTCGAAATGGATTGTGGTTGAATGAATTGTGAAAATGTTGAATGGAACAATTTGAAATGTGCTTTTTTATAATACGTGGACATGTTAAACAAAAGAAATCACATTTTCGAAGAGGGAAAATTAAGCACTTTTTAAAAACACCCAATGAGAAAAGCACCTTTAAGGGCTTTTAAAAAACGAAAATCGAAATTGAGCACTATAAGCACTTTTTAAAAACGCTGCGCACCCTGAAAATAATCTAAATACTTAAAGCGCAACAAAAAAAAATTTAATAAAAGCACAATAAAGTGCTTTAATTCACATTGTTTTTTGCTTTAGACAGCATAGCACAAAGTATATTCATTCCTTCTTTTTGGATAGTCTCTCAAAGAGTTCGGGGCTTGCTTTGTGGCAGTCCTATTTAAATTTCTTAAGTCCACTTGGGAGCAGTCAGGATAATAATTATTCTCACAACCTACTTGACTTTATTTACTTACATGTTCATCAACAGAATAAGCCAATTCTCCATCATCATACAAGACAAACCACCTCCTTTGCCACCGCTGGAAGAAAAAAAAATGAATGTTTATCACATGTACAAAAAAGAACAACACATTTAAAGCTATATTAAACAGCTAGATAGTTTTATATTTACCGTTCGATTTAAAAGAATATCCCTAGCAGCAAAACAAATCGGGCTCTCATTGAGCCAATAATTATGAATCTTGGCTCAGTAAGTGTTCATAGGGCATTTATTTTTCTTTTATTAGCCCTATATAGAATTGTCAGAGTCACCCGATATTTTACAGCCACTTTTACAACCAATATCGGTCCTATATAGAATTGTCAGAGTCACCCGATATTTCACAGCCACTTTTACAATCAATATCGGTCCTATATAGAATTCTCCGATTCACCCGATATTTTACAACCACTTTTACAACCAATATCGGTCCTATATAGAATTGTCAGAGTCACCCGATATTTTACAGCCACTTTTACAATCAATATCGGTCCTATATAGAATTCTCCGATTCACCCGATATTTTACAACCACTTTTACAACCAATATCGGTCCTATATAGAATTGTCAGAGTCACCCGATATTTCACAGCCACTTTTACAATCAATATCGGTCCTATATAGAATTCTCCGATTCACCCGATATTTTACAACCACTTTTACAACCAATATCGGTCCTATATAGAATTGTCAGAGTCACCCGATATTTCACAGCCACTTTTACAATCAATATCGGTCCTATATAGAATTCTCCGATTCACCCGATATTTTACAACCACTTTTACAACCAATATCGGTCCTATATAGAATTGTCAGAGTCACCCGATATTTCACAGCCACTTTTACAATCAATATCGGTCCTATATAGAATTCTCCGATTCACCCGATATTTTACAACCACTTTTACAACCAATATCGGTCCTATATAGAATTGTCAGAGTCACCCGATATTTCACAGCCACTTTTACAATCAATATCGGTCCTATATAGAATTCTCCGATTCACCCGATATTTTACAACCACTTTTACAACCAATATCGGTCCTATATAGAATTGTCAGAGTCACCCGATATTTCACAGCCACTTTTACAATCAATATCGGTCCTATATAGAATTCTCCGATTCACCCGATATTTTACAACCACTTTTACAACCAATATCGGTCCTATATAGAATTGTCAGAGTCACCCGATATTTCACAGCCACTTTTACAATCAATATCGGTCCTATATAGAATTCTCCGATTCACCCGATATTTTACAACCACTTTTACAACCAATATCGGTCCTATATAGAATTGTCAGAGTCACCCGATATTTCACAGCCACTTTTACAATCAATATCGGTCCTATATAGAATTCTCCGATTCACCCGATATTTTACAACCACTTTTACAACCAATATCGGTCCTATATAGAATTGTCAGAGTCACCCGATATTTCACAGCCACTTTTACAATCAATATCGGTCCTATATAGAATTCTCCGATTCACCCGATATTTTACAACCACTTTTACAACCAATATCGGTCCTATATAGAATTGTCAGAGTCACCCGATATTTCACAGCCACTTTTACAATCAATATCGGTCCTATATAGAATTCTCCGATTCACCCGATATTTTACAACCACTTTTACAACCAATATCGGTCCTATATAGAATTGTCAGAGTCACCCGATATTTCACAGCCACTTTTACAATCAATATCGGTCCTATATAGAATTCTCCGATTCACCCGATATTTTACAACCACTTTTACAACCAATATCGGTCCTATATAGAATTGTCAGAGTCACCCGATATTTCACAGCCACTTTTACAATCAATATCGGTCCTATATAGAATTCTCCGATTCACCCGATATTTTACAACCACTTTTACAACCAATATCGGTCCTATATAGAATTGTCAGAGTCACCCGATATTTCACAGCCACTTTTACAATCAATATCGGTCCTATATAGAATTCTCCGATTCACCCGATATTTTACAACCACTTTTACAACCAATATCGGTCCTATATAGAATTGTCAGAGTCACCCGATATTTCACAGCCACTTTTACAATCAATATCGGTCCTATATAGAATTCTCCGATTCACCCGATATTTTACAACCACTTTTACAACCAATATCGGTCCTATATAGAATTGTCAGAGTCACCCGATATTTCACAGCCACTTTTACAATCAATATCGGTCCTATATAGAATTCTCCGATTCACCCGATATTTTACAACCACTTTTACAACCAATATCGGTCCTATATAGAATTGTCAGAGTCACCCGATATTTCACAGCCACTTTTACAATCAATATCGGTCCTATATAGAATTCTCCGATTCACCCGATATTTTACAACCACTTTTACAACCAATATCGGTCCTATATAGAATTGTCAGAGTCACCCGATATTTCACAGCCACTTTTACAATCAATATCGGTCCTATATAGAATTCTCCGATTCACCCGATATTTTACAACCACTTTTACAACCAATATCGGTCCTATATAGAATTGTCAGAGTCACCCGATATTTCACAGCCACTTTTACAATCAATATCGGTCCTATATAGAATTCTCCGATTCACCCGATATTTTACAACCACTTTTACAACCAATATCGGTCCTATATAGAATTGTCAGAGTCACCCGNTCCACCTCTTCCTGGGAAGGGTTTATTCGATTAACAAAACAATAATGAAGATTAACAAATTTGTGAAAGGTTCGATTAAAAGATAAATTATTTTGTGAAGGGTCCGTTTTTATGAAAAGATATTTTGAGAAGGGTCTGTTAACGGACCCAAATTTCTTCTAAACAGACCCCTGATTAAATCAATTAAAATAAATAAACCATTAACTATGCGGCAATGTGTAAACACAAGATGAAAAAGAAGAGACAATGGAAGATGAAGTTACACAGCTAGGGTGGTTTCGATAGGTGGAATTGTTGCCATTCTGAAAAAAATAAATAATGTTTACAAAAGTAGGAAATCCCAATTACCGCCAACTAACCCTACCCTTTAGGTACGTGCAAGGCACCCTAAAATCTCCTAAAGGGTCAAAAAACGGAAAAAAAGGCTCACCTATAATTAAGTGTCATTATAGTGTCGTTAGAAGGAGATATCCTTTTCTTTTAAACCTGATTCGATCATAATGCTCTCTTTTTGCCTTAGGGGCCTTTCACACACCCGAAGTCGGCATTTAGTGCAATTGAAATACAAAACATTTCTCGTTGTTGGGTGTCCATTCATTCCAATGGACACACAATCGAAAGAAAAAACTTGATTTATCGAACAAAATAGTAATCTATACAAATAAAACCCAGAAAGCATACGGCAACCTTGTTTCGGTGTACTGAAAATCTTTTTTTATCAATAAAGCAAAAATATTGCAGCTTCAAACCTTTCATCATTAAAAATTATTTTTGAAGCTTTTTTTTTTTAAGAAGGATTTGTCACTTAGGTAAAATGGTCACTTAGGACCGTCATGACGTTATAGCTGACGTCACACTAGCGATAGGATCAAATTGAAATTTCGACAGTTCATTAAAATTTCGTGACAGGGTGGAATTTAGTTGAGCATACAAGACGTTGCGAAAATAAACCTTATAATTACTTAGATTATAAGACTATTTTCACCTTGAGACTAGCTTTATTAAAGGATGTTTTTTTTTTTTTTTTTACGTTTGAAAACCCTAAGACAACATTGATTTAAGGTTTTTATATGGAAGGTTGTTTTCCAAGGTTTTGAATTAGGGAAATGTGTGTGGAATAGAGCGGATTGTCACAAATCTTATTTTAAGGTTAAAAGGTTTACACGTAGCATTACAAAAAAATTTAATTGTACTTGAAAGATTTTGAAATTGTTTATTCTAAAAGCCTAACTACAATTGGTATAGCCGGGACAGTCTTGTTGTCAGGACGCTGGACTCACGTTCGTGAGAACGGTAGTTTAAATCCAGTCAGCCGAAGGCTCCCCGTGTAGTAAATGATGAATTGTGCACGCTAAATGCGTCGGATCGCAAAGTCCTCCATGTTTCCATAACAAATTATACCTCTAGGGGTACTGAATTGGGGATGGATCGTTCTCTGGTTCAGGTCAAAAGTACGATCTGTGGACGAATGAATAGATGCATGAATGGGTTCGCCCTATAAACGAACAATTTTACCTTCGCCCCAGTTGGACTCAAAATTGACTCAATATGGGATGGATCCTACATGAACATCCAACGAGGGACCCATATTGGGATGTCTAGAGTTTTTAATATTGGTCCTATATAGGGCTAATATAGGCCTACATACAGCCTATATTGCTATATTGGCTGAATAATGAATCTAAAAGCTCTATATGAGTTGTAAAGTTGCTATAAAATATAGGGTGAATCGGATAATTTTATATAGGGCCAATATCGGCCCTTTGGAACACTTATTGAGCCAATATTCGTGAATATTGGCCCAATGAGGGCCCAAGTTTTTTTTTGCTGCTAGGGGAGTGTAACGTATAGAAGTGGCAGAAGTCGAATTCTTGACCATAGATGGCGCCACCGGAAAACAAGAATAATCACACCCCTTGTCTTAATGGCCTACAACAACAATTTGTATTGATTAAGAACACGAATGAGAACCCGATTGGAGGAATTACATTGACGGGCGAAACATTTTCACTGGCATGCAAATTTTTCACATCCAGTGGGTGCCTATTCCATACCCCAACTTGAAATAATAATCCTGCCTACCATAAGTGTTCGAGAGTTCTTCGGTTAGACAGACAGCACTGTGTTAAAAAAAAAGTAATTAGTGAAGGAAGTAATTTACAAAGAAAAAACTTACCTTGTTCCGATTAATAGGCAAGGAAAAGTCCCAATCTGGTGCAACAAATAAGTAGCCACAGCATGACACTTTACGGGTAGCCTAAAAAGTAAGAATAAAAACACATATAGTTTCGGCTTATTATTTTTTCTAACAAAAGTATTCTTTTCTATCGTTATTTAAAAAACAAACAAAGATTTGAAACATTGAAAGAAATGCTTAATAATGATAAAGCTTTCTTTTTTTCAATAGTTTTTTTTAAATAATTTATTACGTACATTCAATTATTTTATATTGGCTGCGTCAAATAAATTCAATAAAGAACATGACGTGTGGACCACGTCACCCAATTTATACTTTTATAGTTGAGCCTCCAATTCCTACTCTTAGTTCTCCCTACATCTTGTTCAATCATTAAATAAAATACTTTTCATTCATTCACTCAAGATCAAATACATATTTTTTTTAAACTTGTAGTGGATGATTTTAATACAGTTTTTCAAAATATTAATTCATTCATTCAATTTAATTAATCTCAGTTTCATATGAGAAAATTTTTTTTTAATTATTTAATAAAAAGTAACTACAAATAAATTTTTGACCTAAGCAGTAAATGATTTGAAATTTTTTTATATACGAGGGTTGCTATTTATATTTCTGGCCTAATAATGAAAAAACAAATATGTAGGATCGAAATTGGTTTTATTGTTTTTCAAAATATTCTCCATGATGATCAATACACTTTTGCATGCGTTTGAACCAATTTTCAAAGCACTTTTTCCAGTCCGATTGAGGTAACTCCAAAACATGCGTTTTGAATGCATCAACCGCTTCTTCGGGGGTCGAAAATCGTTGTCCACGTAATTTATTTTTGATGTGTGGGAATAAGAAGAAGTCATTGGGTGCCAAATCAGGGCTGTACGGCGGATGACCCATCAGTTCGATCTTTCGCTCCGTCAGAAATGCCTTTGTTTGAGTCGATGTGTGAGAGCTCGCATTGTCATGATGAAGAATGATTCGCCTGTTCTTCTGCTTTTTTCGAATTTCTCCGATGACTTCTGGCAAACAAATGGTCGTGTACCATTCAGAATTGACCGTCCTGCGTTGCTCTAACGCCACTGTTGCCACATGACCGTTAATGCCGAAGAAACAGGCAATCATTTGTTTCGATGTGCTTCTTCCTCGAACAACTTTTGTTGGTTTTGCCTCGTCTTGGAAGACCCATACAGTTGATTGCTGTTTTGTTTCCGGCTCATATGCATAGATCCATGATTCGTCACCTGTGTAGATGTTATACACAGCCTTTGATGTACCTTGAACGTATTTTTCCAACATTTCCTTGCACCAATCGACACGAGCCTTTTTTTGAGCGTTTGTCAGATTATGCGGGATCCAACGCGAACAAATTTTTTTTACGCTCAAATGTTCATGCAATATTTTATTGATGCTAGTCATACTAATGTCCAAAGACGCCTCTATCTCACGGTATGTCACATGACGATCTTGCTTTATCAGTTCACGCACAGCATCGATCTTTTCTGGCACAACAACGGATTTTGGACGACCTGCACGGGATTCGTCCTGGATCGAACATCGACCACGATTAAATTCGTTATACCAATTTTTTACAGTGCTGTAGGATGGCGCTTTATCGCTGAATAAAGAATTAAGTTCATCGAAGCACTCTTGTCTTGACAATCCACGTCGAAAGTTATGAAAAATAATGGCACGAAAATGTTCACGATTCAATTCCATTTTTTGAAAGAGAAGAACTTTTCAATTTACTGTCAACAACACAAATGAAGCTATGATGGAAAATCGTCTGCTGAATTTATGTTTAAAAATATCAAACTTTCGTTTAAAATCGTCTGCGGTCACCTAGCAACACTTACTGTTGCCAAGGCCAGAAATATAAATAGCAACCCTCGTATTTCTTGTTTTTCTAGACCCAAATCAGTTAACTTTGTAGGATTTGATAAAGATACTCATCAAATAACATACAAACTAAAACGTGGCAAAGATGTCACACAAGAATTCTCAAAAATATTTTTCCATAGTTGCTTATCATGTTTATTTATTTATCAGTAATAGGAGAAATGGCGATACAATACAATGATGGGGAGAGAGATACATTAAGGGGTTCAACAAAACAAACCTGTTATGGCAAATAGTTTGTTACAGGTCTGATTCTTTTTAAAGTTTCAGTTTTTAATCTCTAGTTTTATGACTGATACAACAAAAAATGTTATTTATTTATTTCTATTTATATTATTGTCTATTCGGTTATTTTATTTCATTTTTTATTTATTTTTTAAACTGGAGTTCTGTGTTGTTCTTATTTTTGCTGACAAGAGGGGGTGCGAGCATTCCTTACGTACCACAATAAAATCTCCCATTTTCAAAAAAATTTTAAATGCAAAATTTGTTTTTAAATATAACATAATTCATTGCAAATTTTTCAATGCATTATGAAACATAAAAGAGAATAAGTTTTTTAGGTTGCGTAGCCAAATCTTTCAACAAAAAGCACCTCTTAAGTACTTTTTAAGCACACATAAAATATTTTTAAGCACCATACACATGAAACTGAAAAATAATTTTCATAGACTTTACATGATCATGATAAATAACCAGTTTTTGACAAGGAACTCCTTTCTTGATTATATACAGCCATTATAAAATGATCGAGAGATTTTTCGGTTCTATATCAGAGGGTGGAAAATGAAGATCTTGCAAAATGCAGCAGAGTTGCACATGAGAGTAATAATCTCACCGAACCTAGCTCACATGCGGACTCGCAAGTATTTAATCATACCTACAAAATAATTGGCACTTTCATAAGCTTGGACAGACGGTACGCTGAAATAGATTGTGGTTGAATTAATTGTGGAAACGTTGAATGGAACAAAGTGAAAAGCAAGCTTTTGCATAATACGTGGCGAAAATCAAAACGGTAAAGAAAAAATATAATTTTCGAAAAGGGGAAATGAAGCACTTTTTAAAAACACCCCATGAAAAAAGTATCTGTAAGGGCTTTTAAAACACGAAAATAAGCACTAATCAAAAACGCTACGCACCATGGTTTTTATAACCTCTTGATACAATATATAGGTACAATTTTATCACTTTAAAAATAATATTCGTCTTGATGGTTGATGTTTTAAAAGTTGTTATTTTTAATTGCAGATTGCAATGAAATAGTTTGAAATGCACAAAGCTAAATCTAGCATTTAAAAATAACAGTTCTAAAAATATAAAGTATTCATTGTAAACTATTTCGAAAAACAGCTTTAAAATCAAATTTAATAATGATTCTAATTCGGGTTATGCTTTTAGCCATTTCTAATCAGAATGGGGTAGCTGGAAAGTTAAATTATTCAATCCATACAGTATCCATACAGTACTTAAAATATACAATCCATACAGTATTCATACAGTACTAAGTGCCCGTGGCAGAATATCAGCGACACGGCGACATTGTCGCAAAACGTTACTGAGTTCTTACAGAAAGATTTTCTTATGAAAAGTACAAAAAAAATCTTTTCTTTTTTACAGAAATTTACACATAATATTTGAATCATGCGTAGAAAATCACTTTTTGAAGCTCTCAATTTACGCCGATAGTATCGTAAATCGATGTCATGTTTCGTTTGTATTTTCGGCAGTTATTGATATTGATTTTCACATGGTTTTTAAACATCCCGATATATTTCAAGCAATATGGAAAATTTGAATCGTGCATTTGAGTATTCATTTTTTAAGGTAATAATTCTATCGAAATTTTTGCCACTTGTTGCTATTGATCTCTCCATAGTTTTTAAATCCGATATTTTTTTTTAATACGATATCATTTATTACAACAACCTGATCTCGAAACGAAACACGCGTTTAAAGAGTCAGATTTGCGTGATTTTGACGTTTTTTTTTTTCGGCAATTACTGACTGCTACGCGAAATGTATAATTTTTAATTATTTATTGATTGTGATAATTATTTACAAAATGCGAAGAACTTGTGCGTCTCCCCCAAACAAAATGCGTGAATATCACCCATAATATTAGAATAAAAAATTGTTAAGTATTCAATTAAGAAAAATTACAGTTATTTTTTTCTTTGTAAATACAGCGTATTTGTTATTTTAAATTAGTAACATACATATTTTTTATTCAGGGTGCGTAGCAAGATCTTTCAACAAAAAGTAAGTACAAAAAATAAGTACTTAAGCACTCAAAAAATATTTTTAATCACGTTCCAAAAAAAATCATAATTAGGATCTGTGGAGTTATAAAAAAAAAAAATTTCTACCGTTTGAAATTCTTAATTTATAAACATAAAATCAATAAAATTCAAAAACATCTTTCAAAAGTTTACATAAAATAACTAGTTTCTTATAAATATTGCAGGGAAAATTAAGAAAAATAAAGCATTTTTTCGTAATTAAGAAAGACAACCGACGCAACAAAGAAAAAATCTCTTTTGGAAAGATAAAAAAATTAAGCACTTTTTACAAACCTCGAATAAAAAAGGCCCTTTAAGGACTTTTAAAAAACGTATATCAAAAATAAGCACCTTTAAGCACTTTTAAAAAACGCTACGCACCCTGTAATTATTAAAAGTATCTTGCAGAAAGATATTAGTGCTAGAGAGTTTAGTCGCAGGTAAGCTCAAAAAAATTCCGCCACAGGGCCTTAGTTCTTGTAAAGCAGTAGAAAATTAATATAAACAAAACTAACAGATGTAACTAATTAAGAAAAAGTCAAGGAAGCAACTCCTTTTTTTTCTAAAAGAGTCGTCTTATCAGAAGAAGTCATCGGAATTTTGTGTCATTTAATATTCCGAACAATCCGAATGCAAAAAAAAACATTCCGCAAATAGTGGCATAATAATTTTTTTTTAAATAAAACGTGACCATCAGGACACAGACTCATAAAAGTCGGGATTGAAAAAGATCTTAATAATAAAGGAGGGGACCCCAAGATGGAAGTTTTTTAATAGAACGATCACGTTTTCACCTGTAGTTATTTTTATAAATGCATTTATTTATCTGTGCAGAGTAAGGTTAAAGCGGTCATCGAGGTTACGTTATCACTATCTTCAGAGGTA